GTGTGTGTGAGTGTGAGAGTGTGTGTGTGTGAGTGTGAGAGAGTGAGTGTGTGATAGTGAGTGTGTGATAGTGAGTGTGTGAGAGTGAGTTGGAGGGGGGGGGTGAGGTGGGGTGGGGTAGGGGTGGAGATCATGTGGGCAAGCCTTTGCAGCAAGCATCTTATTACTAAGCCCAAATACTTCAAATGAGTCAGGGTTCAAAACAGTCCCAGTGGGGATCTACAGTAAGGCAAGCACTTACCTGAAACTAAAGAGCTGATCATCAGTTTCAGGAAGCTGAGTGGAGGACACGCCTGTGTCTGTATCAATGGTGCTGATGTGGAGATGGTTGATGGTGTCAAGTTCCTAGGAGTGACAGTCACCAACAATCTGTCCTGGACCACCCATATTGATGCAACAATCAAGAAAGCACAACACTGCCTCTTCTTCCTCAGGAGGCTATGGAAATTCAGCATGTCCGTATGGCCTCTCACTAACTTTTATAGAAGCACCATAGAAAGCATTCTGTCTGGATGCATCTTGGCTCGGTATGGCAACTGTCCAGGACCGTAAGAAACTACAGAGAGTTGCGTGCACAGCCCAGACTGTCACAGAAGCCAACCTTCCATCCATTGACTCCAACTACAATTCTTGCTGCCTTGTGAAAGCAACCAACATCATCAAAGACCCCTCCCACCCCGGTTATAATCTCACCAACCTCTTTCATCGGGCAGAAGATACAAAAGCTTAAACACACATACCAACAGGGTCAAGAACAGTTCATCGCTGCTGTTATTAGACTTCTGAATGGACCTCTCAAATTTCAAATTTAGTGTTGATCTTGCTTTTTGTGTACATTTGCTGCAACTGTAACATTATATTCCTCTCTCTGTTCAATCACCTTGTGATCTTTATGTCATGATCTGTCTGTACTGCATGGAAAACAAAACTTTTCACTGTACTTAGATATAGGTGATAATAATAAATCAAATCAAATCAAATATCAAAAATCAAGTGAATTCTAGGAAGCCTTGTTTAAAAAAGTCTCTAATGTCCATCTAGTGATTGTACATGAATAGAATATGAGTTTTCTGATTGGGGCTGTAAATCTGGTCCAATCAGAGAGGCCTGGCTGACAGATATAAACAGGAGTGTCAGAGGTTCTGTTCACGCTGAGAGTTGGCTCTGAGGGAGCTGGATCAGGGTCAAGGACTCTCCATGTGTAAATAAAGGGTGACTTGGTGATGGGATACCAGCCTCTGTGGAGTTATTTCAGTCTACAGTGAACTTTGAATGACCCCTTTTAAAGAAATCACTCCAATTATTTCCTATAAACTTGAAATAAATCAATTCTTTCATGGTCCTTCAAAACTTAAATCTTCCATGAAATATTAAATCTGAAGAATATTTGTAACAATACTTACTGACACAATATTTCAGTAAACATTATTGGACCCATGGTGCTGCTGTTTCCTCTTCCATCAATGCTGTTATCTGTCAGGTGCAATCTGGATAACCAGGGAGCAATCTGTGGGAGTTCCTGCTTATGTTTCCCTTAAAGATTGAGAAGAAACAATTTGAAGACCTGATCACTTTTTATACATGTCTATTGCAATGACTCACATTGACAAATACTCTCAACATTCTCGGATGTGGCTTTGTGGGAAAAGATAAAGCCATCTGGCCGTATGCCATTCCGAGCTTCCCAGATTTTAGTCTGTGGCTAGGAGCCACCAGAATTCCTGCTGCACCATTATTGCGGATCAACAACCTACTGGGCCAGGGACACTGGCCAGTGCTCACAAGCTTATGAGACTAATGCTAACCAAACTTAGCAATCATTCAGGCGTCATACTAATGATCTGCTACATCTTGCCAAGTCAAATTAAACACAGGGCAAACTGTTTATGATAAATTGACTGAAGACACCAATTACCTGGAATGGGAAAATTAGTTTCTGTTCACAACTGTAAAAGATAAAAGCATTTGCTTTACATGTCACCAAAGTATATGGAAAAGTAAAAAGGAGAATTTGGAACATTGCACAATGATACACAGTAAATTTAAAACTAGTTTTTCCTTAAATAACATGCTTCAAACAAAGAAAGTTGAGCTGAAGGCCGTTTTGAAATCTTAATTGTTTTTCTTTTCCTAAACCAGCGGCAAAAATCCTGGAATTTCCTCCCTAAGGGCATTGTGGGTATTTCTATTCCCCAAGGACTGCAGCAGTTCAAGAAGGCAGCTCACCATCACCTTCTACAGAGCAGTTAGGGTTGAACAATAAATGCTAGCCCAGCCTGCAATGCCCACATCCCATGACCAAAAAGGAAAAAGAAGGAACTATGATGATTTACAAATTAAAAATAAACAACTGGTCTGTAAAAATCAAAAACAGAAATTGCTGAAAAGCTCAACAGGTCTGGCAGCATGGGTGGAGAGAAATCAGAGTTAATGTTTCGGGTCCAGTGACCCTTCCTCAGGAAGGACCTGAAACATTAACTTTGATTTCTCTCCCCAGGTGCTGCCAGACCTGCTGAGCTTTTCCAGCAATTTCTATTTTTGTTTCTGATTTCCAGCATCCACAGTTCTTTTGGTTTTTATTTGGTCTGTAAAAATGGTGGGTTTGAATTGACTTTAATTACTGAAGGGTGCACTTAAGTTCTATTGCATGGGAGGCTCTTCCAAAGTTATTGCAAATAAAAACATATGAAAACCAAACCTAAACTATAAACAAGAGACTTATTTTCTTATGTTGCTCATTTATAGTTTCCTTTGGTTCATCTGTCTTTCATAAAAGCTCAGCTCCAAGCTATTCTCTGATCCTGAAGATCAGGTTACGATCTGAGATTCATGGGTTTCTGGGAATTTTTGGAAACTTCAGTTTTCATTGGCTTAGGGCCAAAATAGAACACAGGAATTTACACTACAGTTATATTTATATAGTACCTTGAAGGTTGCGAGAAGGGGAAGCGGGGCATCTTCAGAATGGCAACTTGTAAATAGTGGAGTACCAAAGGGATTTGTGCCGGGGCCACAATTATTTACACAATATATTTAAACGTAGGAAAGTGAATGTACTATAGCCAAGTTTGTGATGATATGCTAATAGATGGGGAGGCAAGTAGAGGGAGTGACGGCATCTGCAGAAGGAGATAGACAGTTTAAGCGACTGGCTAAAACTTGGCAAATGGGAAATATAATGTGGGAAAATGTGAGGTTATGCACCTTAGCAGGAAGAATAGAGGAGCTGAATATTATTTGAATGGAGAAAGTCTGCAGAAAGCTACAGAACAGACAGATTTGGGAACCCTTGTGCAAAAGTCAGAAATATCTACCATCCGACTTCAGTGAGTAATAAAGAAGGTGAATAAAATGTAGGCCTTTATTTCATAGGGAATGGAGGATAAGAGTAGGGAGGTTTTGCTAAAACTTTACAAGGCACTTGTCCGACCTCAGCTGGAAATGTGAACAGTTTTGGGCCCCTTATCTAAGGAAAGATGTTAGAGGCAGTCCAAGGAAGCTTCACTAGGCTGAAACTGGATAAGGAAGACTGTCTTATGAGGAGAGGTTGAGTAGATGGGGCCTGCACTCATTGGATTTACAGGAATGAGAGGTGACCTTATCAAAACATACAAGACTCTTATGGGAACTTGACAGGGGAGATGTTTCTCCCTGTGGGAGAGTCTAGGACCAGAGGGTATAATCTCAGAATAAGGTGTTGACCATTTAAGACAGAGATGAGGAGGAATCTCTTCTCTGCGAGGGGAGTGAATCTATGGAATTCTTAACTGCAGAGGACTGTTGATGCTGAGTGATTGAGTGAATTGGAGGCTGAGACTGACAAATTTTTAAGGGGAACCAGGGGTTATAGGGAAACGGCAGGAAAGTGGAGTTGAGGATTATTAGATCAGCCATGATCTCACTGAGTGCCAGAGCAGACTCAATGGGCTGGATGGCCGACTTCTGTTCCTGGGTCTGATGGTCCTACGTTATGCACTTACTCTCTTTGGCAGCCATCTCTGTCACAAAGTCACCATTTTGTTCAAGATCCTACACTCCATCAGCTGCACCAGCTCAGCTACCTCCAAACTACAGCAGTGAGGAGTGAACAAATGCATCGTCAAGTTAAAAAAGCCTCATCCGGCGCAATTGCTGTCACCACATTGGGAGTCTGTTAGCATGATGGCTGGTTTGCGATGCAGTGTGATCGTGTGGAATCAATTCCCCCACTTCTCAACCTCTCTCTGTAACGAGAGAGCAGCCCTATAGTTCACTTGGACTATGGCAACTTTAGCTCTTAATCTCACCACAGTCCAGTGAAAACTGGTCTGTGTATCAGAGAAACGCCCATCAGCTGGGCCTCTGCCACTCCTCTGGAATCAATGAGAGAACTGCAGACCAATGCAGATCCATCTGCAAGTCATCTCCACAAGTACTCAGGCAAAGCTCCTGCACATTCACCTTCACTGGAGTGGGCCCTGTGCCTGGATGGGAGAAGGGCCGCCTTCCCTGGTATCTCCTGTTTTACCAACAGCCAAAGTTCCAGGGGAGCATCATGGGAAGGTTCTCAGGCAGTCTGCTGCTCTCCTTACAAAGTGGCAGCATTGGCATTAATGACTGGCAGGATATGGCACCAGAATCCTAACAATTCATCCATCACCCTGCATCATGCTCTGCGTCAAAATGCTTTAATGACCAGCTGCTGGACTGTGGGATAGGATAGGCCACTGCAGACATGAAGGGTTGAATGGCCTCTTTCTGTAACTTTTCTTTTAATCAACCTGTTCAGACATTATAGGATCACCTTCTGAGGAAAGGCCAGACAGGCTAGGCCTGTATCCTATGGAGTTTAGAAAACTCAGAGGTGACTTAATTGAAACATAGACGATCCTAAGGGGACCTGACTGGGTTGATGTGGAAGGGATGGTTCCTCTTGAGGGAGAATTTAGAACTAGGGGTTGTCATTTTTTAAAAATTCATTAGATTAGATTAAATTTTATAGTCACGTGTACCCGAGTACAGGAGTACAGTGAAAAGTGTACAGGGTCGCCACTCTCTGGTTAGAATAAAGTAGTTAGAATTTGAAACAAGAGCCGAAATTAAAGAAACAGAAACGAAAGGAAAAGAAAATGTCCAGATCACCCTCACTGCTGCCACCACAGCCATGAGTCTTGAGTCAGGCTGACCAATGCGACCTGCACCAACACCACGGTGCCACTACCACTGCAAACACTGCTTCACCACTGCTACTGATACCACCATCTCCAGTCCTGTGCCTCACTGCCACCTGCAGCAATGTCAAAGTCACCACCCTCCAGTGCCATCTCTTGCCGCTGGGCCTACCTTGCCAACGCCATCTTCAAATCAATTGAAGTACCAGAGCCCACAGCCTTCCTGACGAGAGGTAAGAGTGTAACCCTTTGAACCAGCGCTGACATCAGAGCCACTGTCAATGCCTGTACTGCCACCACCACCTCCTCGAGTCCTGCACAGGGTCCACCAGCAGCAAGGTCACCATGCCATCTCCTGCTGCTGGCCTCACAATCATGGGCATCGCCAATGTCGATGGTTCCACCACAGCCCAGCTCCCCAAGGCGAAAAGGTCAGACAGAACTGTACAGAAAAGTATAAAGAAAAGAAGAAAAGAGAAAGAGAAATGGACGGAAGAAAGCAGGAGCCTGAACACTACTACTCCATTGCTGCCTTCAAGATAAAACAAGGAGGTACCTGTTAAGACAGAGAAGAGGAAACATTTTCTGTCTCAGAGGGTTGATAGTCCTTTGGAATTCCCTTCCCCAAAAGGCGGCGCACACAGAATCTTTAGATATTTTAAAGCAGAGGGAGATGGATTCATGATGACCAAGGGGATGAAAGATTTTCGGGTAAATGCAGGAACGTTGAGTGAGGTGAAAATCCGATCATCCATGATTTTGTTGAATGGTAGAGCAGGATTGCAGGATTTTAAAGTCAAGGCATTGCCTGATTGGAAACTCGGGGTGATAAGGAAATGAGGCTTGGGGTGTGTTAAGGCATGGGAAATAAAGTTTACATTGGCCAGACGTTCATGAAGAAGATGAGGTAAGAGAGCAGCCAGGTAGGAATAGGGATGTGATGGCCTAGTGGTGTTATCGCTGGACTGTTAATTCAGAGACCCAGATAATGTTCTGGGGATCAGGGTTTGAATCCTGCCATGGCAGAATACAATAAATATCTGGAATTAACAATCTAATGATGACCATGAATCCATTGTCGATTGTTGGAAAAACCCATCTGGTTCACTAATGTCTTTTAGGGAACGAAACTGCCATCCTTACCTGGTCGGGCCTACATGTGACTCCAGACCCACAGCATTGTGGTTGACTCTTAATTGGGCAATTAGGGATGGACAATAAATGCTGCCTGGCCAGCAACACCCTCATCTCATGAATGAATAAAAGAAAAAAAATCAGTCAAGTTTGGAGATAAAAGGCCTGCATTAGGATTGCAGCAACAGATGAACTGGGATGAGGAGGCCACATCGGGAACAGCTAATACGATATACTACATTAGCGGATGTGCAGGTGAATATCCGTCTGATGTGGGAGGTTTTTTTGGGGCCTGGGATGGGGGTGAGGGTAGAGGTGTAGGGGCAGGTGTAGCACTTCCTGCACTCGGTTCGCGACAAGTGACAACATCTCCCAGTTGCAAACCACTTCAACTCCTCCTCCACTCCCTGCGCAACATGTCCATCCTGGGCCTCCTCCAGTGTCACAACGACCCCACCCGGAAACTGGAGGAGCAGTACCTCATATTCCGCCTCGGGAGCCTACAGCCCGGTGGTCTCAATGTGGACTTTACTAGCTTCAAGATCTCCCCATCCCCGACCTCATCCCATGACCAGCACTCCCTCTCATCCCTGCCTCCTTGACCTGTCCGTCTTCTCTCCCACCCTATCTGCTCCTCCCACCTCACTGACCAATCCCCACCACTACCTACCTGCTATCGCCACCCCACCTACCTTTCCCAGCCCAACCCCCCCTCTCTTTATTTCAGAGCCCCCTTCCCCTCCCCGATTTCTAAATAAGGGTCCCGACCCGAAATGTCAGCTTTCCTGCTCCTCTGATGCTGCCTGGCCTGCTGCGTTCCTCCAGCTCCACGCTGTGTTATCTCTGACTCCAGCATCGGCAGTTCTTACTATCTCCCTTTGTATGTTCTAGGGGTTCTGCCATTTACTGTATATTTCTCCCTGCATTAGATCTTCCAAAATGCATCATCTTGCATTTGTCTGGATTAATTTCCATCTGTCATTTCTCCACCCGAGTCTCCAGGCCATCTATATCCTACTGTATCCTCTGGTAATCCTCCTGAATGTAACAAAATGTTCCTGCTGGTAGATTCAGGTATTAATGCCTTCTTTGTATCAGCTTTCCTTTCAGCGTTCTCTCAATTCTATTTGAGTGACAGACCAATATTTATTCTTCTGATCAGTTTTGGATTGAGTTGTTCACCATCCCATTTCCCAGGTGATACCGTATAGCCAGTAGCCAGTGGCCGTGTGCTCTTTGCTGTGGCCCTGGTCACTATATAAAACATTGATGCAATGTACTACTGCACCTTCCAGGGAGTGTGTTAATGGATCCTCCTCAAAATGTGTCGATGCACCAAATTTCATCCTGGCCATGTTTTCTGCATAATCTGCAATAAATGTGATAAGTTCACAAGCTCCTTCACATTGTAAGTTGTTGCCATCCAAAAAGAGATCTCTGCAATGAGGAAAATAATTATTTAGTTTGTGCATTCAATTTACTGTCTTGTTAAGTTAACTGATCTCATGTTTTATGTCAATAACTATACAATACTGTAGGGCCTAGGTTAAATTGTTAACAACCAAATAAAAATACTTTTTGCCTGTTTACTTTTGAACTACATGCATCAAACTTGGATGAAATTAGGTTTTGCAGATTTGCTTGTGCCGAGACATAAATCAGCTGCAGATTCCGTTGTATTAATAGTGTGTTAATAGAAGTGTTAATAGAGTGTCATAGGCATTTATCACTTTGATGATGTCAGTGTTGGTACCACAACTATTCCTGTTATACATCAAAAATCTGGATGAAGGAACTGAGGGTATTGTTACTAAGTTTGCAGATGACACAAAGATTGGTGGAGGGACAAATGGTATTGAGGAAGCGGGGAGGCTGCAGAAGGACTTGGACAGGCTGGGAGAGTGGGCAAACAGGTGGCAGATGGAGTACAATGGGGGAAAGTGTGAGGTTATGCACTTTGGTAGGAAGAATAGAGGTGCAGACTATTTTCTAAATGCGGAAAAGCTTCGGAAATCTGAAGCACAAGGGGACTTGGGAATTCTAGTTCAGGATTCTCCTAAGGTGAACTTGCAGGTTCAGTTGGCAGTTAGGAAGGCAGATGCAATGTTAGTGTTCATTTTGAGAGGGCTAAAGTATAACAGCAGAGATGTACTGTTGTGGCTTTATAGGGCTCTAGTCAGACCACATTTGGAATATTGCGAGTAGTTTTAGGCCCTGTATCTAAGGAAGGATGTGCTGGCCTTGGAAGGGCTCCAGAGGAGGTTTACAAGAATGATCCTGGGGATGAAGGGCTTGTTGTATGAGAAGCAGTTAAGACTCTGAGTTTGTACTTGATGGAGTCGAGAAGGATGAAGGGGGATCTGTTTGAAACTTACAGAATACTGACAGACCTGGATAGTTTGGACATGGAGAAGATGTTTCCACTAGTAGGAGAGACCAATACCCAAGGGCTCAGCTTCAGAGTCAAGGGACGACCCTTTAGAACTGAAATGAGGAGAAATTTCTTCAGCCAGAGGGTGGTGACTCTATGGAACTCATTGCCTCAAAAGGCTGTGGAGGCCAAGTCATTGAGTGTATTTAAGACAGAGATAGATAGGTTCTTGACCAGGAAGGGGATCGAAGGTTACGGTGAGAAGGCAGGAGAATGGGCTTGAGAATCATGTCAGCCATGATTGAATGGCAGAGCAGGTTCAATGGACCAAATGACCTCATTTCTGTTCCTATATCTATGTTCCTATATCCCTGTGACTGGAGTAACTGAGGACTTTGAAGACCATGTCCTTCTAACTGTCTCGAAAGATGTATACCATATTCTTGTAACATTTCAGCAGTTGCAGAGATGCAATAAACTGGATCTTATTTACTCCAAGAACTTCTTCTAGTTACACCAGAAGCTGACTATCCTTATTGAGAAACAAGGCCACGTTGACAATAGAGAAGTCAATACCTACAGGGTATTATGGCAGCACATATAACATGGTGCTTAGCCTCACCACACAACAGATTTTACCTGATGTCTATACCCCAGCAGTCTGTATGAGGTAATTCTGTAACCGTCTCACTAGAGATTTGACATTATTTGTTCAAGGGAATATAGGTATCGCTGGCTGGTCCATCCCTGATTGCCCTGGAAAAGATGGTGGTAAGCTGCCTTCTTGAGGTGCTGCTATCAATGTGGACTGAGATTGGGGAAAAATTGTAAGCACTGTATTGGAACAATTTGAAGAACTTAGTTTGAATTAAAGACTGATAGTAAATGATTTAAAACTTGTCTGATTGGGAATAACATTTTCAATCACAATCTGCTTAAAGGGCAAAACCTTGGGAACAGGTTTGACACTGTGTATCTGGAGGAACCACTTTCACCTCGTCAAGTGTTTGAGTACTGAATCCATTGGAGTACTACAGTTTCCTATTCAGGCCAAAATGAGACAGGCAGATTCAGCTCTTCTTACTCAAGAGTTTAATATTGCACGGGATGGGGATTTTTGTCCATTAGAGCAAAAGGACATCCAAACCATGATGTCAACATGAAATTGTGTGAAAGATGTTGTAGGCTGTTTTCCGTGGAGCATCGGAGGCTGACAGTTGACCTTAAAGAGGTTTATAAAATCATAAAGGGCACAGATAGGGTAAATAGACAAGGTCCTTTCCCTAGATTAAGGGAGTCCAAAACTAGAGGCTACAGTTGTAAGGTGAGAAGGGAAAGATTTAAAAGGGACCTAAGCGGTAACTTTTTCTCACAGAGGGTGGTGTGTATATGGAATAAGATGCCAGAGGAAGTGGTGGAGGCTGATACAATTACAACATTTAAAAGGCATCTGGATGGGTACATGGATACGAAGGGTTTAGAGGGATATGGGCCAAATGCTGGCAAATGGGACTAGATTAATTTATGATATCTGGTCGGCATGGACGGGTTGGACCGAAGGATCTGTTTCTGACTTGTCAATCTGTATGACTCTATGTCTCTATAAAGAGTGATTTTATATGCAGTACCTTTCCAACATGGTATCTTCTTACAACTGGTCTCAGGTCATTTTCAATCATTTATATTCATGAACAGTACAAATGAGACAAAGCTGGCGCAGTAATTAAATTTGCAGGTTGCTAGAAATTAATGTCGCACTCAGGGCCTTGAGGGGAGTAGATTTTATATGGATCAGGACTGCTTGAGAAAGTGAGTCCAAGATTGGCATATCTTTCAATGCGTGAAAACATAGTTACACAAAATGGTTCAAAGAATAAAGCACAAGTGGGCACAATTTAAAATTAGCACGGGGTAGTAGAACTTGAAAGTAATGATTAGAGAGAGGAGGGGTGGAGCTGGGGAAGGTAGGTGAGTGCAGGTAGGGAGTGGTGGGGATTGGTCAGTGAGGTGGGAGTGGCGGATAGGTGGGAGAGAAGATGGATAGGTTGTGTCAGGTCAAGGAGGAGGGGATGAGGCGGGGGGGGGGGGGAGATTTTGAAACTGCTAAAATCCACATTTAGGCCATTGGGCTGTAGGCTTCCAAGGCAGAATATGAGGTGCTGCTCCTCCAGTTTGCGGGTGGCGTCATTGTGACACTGGAGGAGGTCCAGGATGGTCATGTCACCCAGGGAGTGGGAGGGGAAGTTGAAGTGGTTCGTGATTGTAAGGTGTTGTCGTTTGTTGCGTACAGAGTGCAGATGCTCTACAAACTGTCTCCGAGTCTACGCTTGGTCTCACTGATGTAGAGGAGGCCATTTATTTCGCAGCTCCCTTCCCACTCCCCATTTCTGAAAAAGGGTCCTGACCTGAAACGTCGACTTTCCTGCACCTCTGATGCTGCCTGGCCTGCTGTGTTCCTCCAGTTCCACACTGTGTTATCTCTGACTCCAGTATCTGCAGTTCTCTCTAACTCTCATGGAAGTAATGATTGACAGGCCATTGAAAACTCAAGCATGATTGCTATGACCAAAACACATCCTGAGCTGAACTGATTGCATTATTCAATACTACACTGAAATCCAATTGTCCTATTGGGCTCTTGTGGTACACTGGTAATGTCCCTACCTCTAAGCCAGGAAGTCAGGGTTTAAGTTCCAACTGCTCTCGAGTGTGTCATAACATCCCTGTCGTAAGTTGATTGGAAAATGTCGATAACACTGGGACCAACGCAACAGGATAAAGGGGTCAGCTGGGTCACACTTTGAATATTGTTTACAACTTTGGTCTCAGCTCTAAGGAGGATGTTGTGATTCTGGAGAAATGGCATAAGAATGATTTTCAGTCTGAGTTCATTGACCTATAGATAGAAGAAGGGGAATTGGAAATTTACAATGACGTAAAACATGAATCAGCATTTTATTTCATTTCTTTGTCATAAATTGGAGTATTAGTGTGAATAAATTAGGCTGTGTGTAAAATGGCTGGAAGGTTGTCTGTTTTGTGTGACCCACCAAGATGAATTTCAGCCACTGGATTCCAGATTCCAAAATTCCAGATGTTCTAGAGTCAGATTTTCTGGCACATATGTCTAATAACAGTGTCAATGTTTTTGGCAAAATATTTTTAAATTCAGAGAACATACAGATAATTTGGGGTTAGATTCAGTGGAACGACAGCTACAGGAGATCTGATCCACCATTCAAAATGATGAAAAGCATTGACAGGAAGCAAAATAGATTGAGTATTTTAATTAATGAGGTCAGGTAGAACAAACAGAAGAAGTGAGATTTTGCTACTTTCAGATGCAATGAATGATGGATTCCAGAAGTAAAAGTGAAGAAGACCTTTCAGGTTCCTCAAGGCACTGTGTTCATGGTATGTGGACAAACAACTATTGCGAAAAATAGCTCGAGAGTAGCTTGAAGTTTGCCTGATCTTCCTGTGAGGTGTCAGTGTAATTCTTGATGTAAGATTCCTGAATTTGATATTAACATTTCTGTTCTTTCTCTTAAGCTTCTCCTGAGAACTGGGAATCACAGATAAATGGGAATGAAATTAGACAATGGACATTCTAAATGCATTGCTGGCCCTTTTCCATCCTGTGTATACAACATCAGATAAAATCAAGTACATTGGAGGAAGGTTACAAAACAGGCACAGAGATCACAGTTAGGAGTTAGCTCGGAGTCGCTTGATCAGTTACAGGAAACTAGCAAAAATCTTGTCAGCAGGCAGGAATTAACTAGGCTGCTGAGTAGGTGCACATGTCAGCAACACTTTAAAAGCTTCTCCGCACTTCTTAAAGGCCAGGGAAATTCTGGCTGCAGAATGTGCCGCACGTCGCTGGGGAGGACAATCTGAGCAGGAAGGAGAGTTTGGCCTCACAGGGAACACAGGCTGCGCCCGTGCTTCTCTAACACAGCACTGGTGAGCTCGAATGCAGTTGTTGGATGGGGGAATCTCCAACATCCACAGGGAGCTGGCTAGATACACTGTACAAAAGCAAAGGGAGGAAGTGACCATTGTGATGAATGGGAACAGCCAACCAGAAGGTCATCATTGCTGTGTCACGAGAACTTTAATGACCTCACATGAACGGTCAAGGTCAGTTATAACTGAGCCACTAATCTCAGAGATACTCCATTTATCGCATTCCCTTACTCACTTACCAACAAACTCTATCAAGCAGGACCCTAGCCTCACACAATAGGCTCGATCTAACTCTTACACAATTAGCACCGCAGCAAGCCATGTCAACAAATCTTTCAGCTTGCACATGATCAAGGGCCCATGAAGCCTATTCTTGCTCCATTGTCCTATGTTCCTAACCCAGAGTGCTTCTCACGTCACTAAAATAGTATCCGGCACAGGTCGTGTATGTGGCTGGTACCTAAATGTCACCGGCAACATCAAAATTCCAGATCATCTGACTCTTGTGTCTAATAACAATGTCAGTGTTCTTGGGCAAAATATTTTTAAATTCAGAGAGCATACAGATAATTTTTAATCAATCTACAATAACAAATAAAAATGTCAAGCAGTTTGGAAATACTGTAATGAATTATCTTCATAATCCAGCGAGTTAAGGGCTAATGCTTACAATGCCAACTAGAATAAAACAGTGACTAAGTATGTGTTAATACCTAGTCATAAATAGAACTAAGTTAATTACTCATTCCAATTTTTTCCAAACATTTCTGTTTTGTTTCTGACAGTCGTAGTTGATGCCAAGAATAAAATCTTTGTAAATGCTTTAATATGATGTAGATGCTTTTATATAACATCGACAGTAACTATTGTTCTTCATTTTCTGCCAGAAAAGCCCACATTTCCCATTTACAGCTGAGTGTTGACAACTGCCTCCAGATGGTCTATGGTAGAATCCCATAAAGATGATACACGCCCAAGGGAGCTGATAATTTGGTGGTGCGCAGAAAGAACCCACAAGTGGAATGTAACTTGCACATTCAAAAACAGACACTTATATACGGAGCTGTATTGAAATAATAAGCTGTATCTTTCCCAAACAGCATTGTTTATATTAACTATGAAGTGTAACTCATATATAATTCATTATTCTCATGTGGGGCAATCTAGAACGAGAGTTTCATAGTTTTAGGATAAGGGGTAGTGTATTTAAAACAGATGAGGAGAAATTACTTCTCTCAGAGGACTGTGAATCTGTGGAATTCACTCCCCCACAGTGTGGTGGATGCTGGGACATTGTGTACATTTAAGGAGATGTTAGACAGATTGTTAATGAAGTAATGGGTTGAAGGGCTATGGAGAGCAGGCAGGAATGTGGAGTAGAGGCTGATAGGAAATCAGTCATAATCACAATACATAGAATTTACATAGAATCCCTACAGTGTGGAAACAGGCCCTTCGGCCCAACAAGTCCACACCGAACCTTGGAGCATCCCACCCAGACCCATCCCCTTATAACCCACCTAACCTACACATCCCTGAACACTATGGGTAATTTAGCATGGCCAATCCACTTAGCCTGCACATCTTTGGAAACTGGAGCACCCGGAGGAAACCCACGCAGACATGGGGAGAATGTGCAAACTCCACACAGACAGTCACCTGAGGGTGGAATTGAACCTGGGTCCCTGGTGATGTGAGGCAGCAGTGCTAACTGCTGAGACACTGTGTCACCCCAATAAATCACAATAAGTAGCCCAATGGCCTACTCCTGCTCCTAGTTCTTATGATCCTAGTTGAGAATTAAAAGCTTGAACTGAAAGTTAACCTCAGATACGGTGACCATGAAACCAACATCATGGATGTCTAATGGCCTTTAGGGAAGGAAACTGTCGGCCTTACCTGGTCTGGCCTACATGTGACTCCAGACTCACAGCAATATGATTGGCTTTTAACTCCAAGCAAGCCATTCAGTTCAAGGGACAATTAAGTATGGGAAACAATTTCTAGCCCACCAGCATCATCTCACTGGGTCAAAATCCTGGAATGCCCTCCCTAAGGGACATTGTGGGTCAACCTACAGCACATGGGCTGCAGCGATTCAAGAAGGCAGCTCACCCCCACCTTCTCAAGGACAACCAGGGACAAACAATAAATGCTGGACCCAGACAGCAACACCCACATCCCAGGAGTGAATAAAAAAAGAGTTTGAAAAAGCATCTTTCTTTTTTTGACTTATGGTTGTTGGTCAGAGTTGATAGTGGAATATTAAATATTTTGGAAGTGTGTGGACTTAGAGTCATAGAGTGATGGAGTTGTACAGCACAGAAACAGACCCTTTGGTCCAACTCTTCCATGCCGACCAGATATCCTCAATTAGTATAGTCCCATTTGCCAGCATTTGGCCCATATCCCTCTAAACCCTTCCTCTTCATATATTTCTCTGTTTAATTTACTTACTGTGTGGTCACTGCCTTTGTTCTCTTCCTACATTGTAAATGTTGTTGTTTTGATCTTTTTTGTTTACCTTTTGGGATCAGGATGAAACTGTGGCATTTTGTGGAAATGATTTATTAGCTGACACCCTCCAAGAATGGGGTTCCATGAGAGACTGAATTATGTGTGGTCCTTCGATTTGCATTTCCCCAGGCAAGTCCATACATTGTCCATGCTCTGTTGAATTATCGAAACCTCTATTTTGTAAATTGTGTCCAAGGCAACAGTTCTGTTATGATTGCTTATAAAATACTTCAGTTGTCAAAGCTAAGACAAGATGCATATAAGGCACATAATGCCCAGAGCAGCTTTAATTACCTGATGGCAGTATTGGCAACAAGGTCTCCCAATAATGACCCATTTGGAGGTCCCAGGTTACAGTAACACATGCTCAGTGTTAATAGCTGTCCATTCCCTTTAAGGCCATGACACAGGCCTCTGACACCTTCATCACAAAGTCTGAAAATAGTAAACTTGTTCTTAATTGATTAGACAGTAACAGTGAAACAACAGAATTCTCCAAATATTTATCACCAAGATTTTAATTTTGCTTGAATCCAGAAGTCGGAATTAAGTTGATGGTATGCGTGAGTATACTTTTACAACCAAGTTTTACACTAACACATAGCCCATCCAGCCTGCTCTGTCAATCAATGAGGTCTTCACTGATCTGATAATCCTCAATTCCACTTTCCTGCCTTTTCCCCATTAATCCTCAGGATCAATAAAATCCAAGTGGAGGGGGTAAAGTCACCCCTTCAAACAGGGAGAGGGGGAAGGAGA